AGAATCGGGGCAGAGGGTTATTTCCGTGCATGTCAATATCAAATGTCAACGTCAACTACATAACCTCACTTAAAATTTGTGGGTGTGGTCCTGTTCGAGTCGTACGAAGAAGCGTTTATTGTTATTGTTTATTCATAATGTCGTGGAATCGTGAAGAAGTTAAACTATTGTTGGAGGAGTACCAAAAATGGCCAAACCTGTACAAGGTGAAGTCACCCAATTACAAAAACAGAAATTTGCGGCGTCAGGCAGGCCAAACATCGAGAAGTTTTATAATATTAACAAAGATCCCGATTTCAAAAATAAATTTAAATCAACGACGTCTGTTGTCTTTTCGATTATAATGGACGTCATACCCGTTAAGGTTATGTCCATTCGAAAATATTACTCTAATGCGCAGGCGTATCATATGAATTACTTCGAAATTTTGTTTGCTTGTGTCATACAGGTTGTAGAGAAAATCTTCAATATTTTTCTGTGCAAATTTTCGGCATAATTATAACCATAATTTTCGGAGTAATTCTCTTGTGTGTAAAACGGCTCTAAGTCTAAAATCTCACCGCTTGAATTTTCATGTATCTGTTTTTTGATCAACCTTGATTTTTATGAATGATAAATAATTATTTATCATTACATAGTAGAATAAATTACAGCAGGGTTGCCTGGCAGATCCAAACGGCTGGATCATTTTCTCATTCCGCCGGTTCTCCTGGTATAAAGGTTCCATGACCATCTGTTTCCAGCTTTTTAGATTATTAGCCCCTATTGGCGGAAAAATTGATCAGTATTTTGTAGCGCTGATGGTGGGGTAACTTTTTTAAAAACTCTCTGCAATTTAAACGATAACATGGGTAAATTGCATGCAAGGATCACGAATCAGCCAATCATATTTTCTATGACTTCAGAAGGGCAATTACACAGACCTGTGCATTTTAACTTTTCCTCTTCCAATGGTTGTGTTATTTTCACGCCACTAGCGACGAAGTACGGAAAACTTAGAAATTGAGATATTATGTTTTTGGATGTTATATGACATGTAAATTACGAAAAACTATGTCACCTATTTCCGTCAGACTGTCTATCTGTCGGTCTGTTCGCTAATCCTTGGCCGGTGTACATATAACTTGGAAGTATATACTACTCTGATTTGGATAAAATTTTGATACAAGGTTACTTCTATGCCAAAGACGAAAAAGATTTTTAGTATTTGAAAATCGGTTCAGTGTCGGTAGAGAAATATATCAAAAACAAAAAAAATAAATAAAAATCGCTGAAATTTTGTTTTGTGGCGTTTCAAACTACCCTGATCATTTTTGAACAAATTTTTAGGGCTAAGAAATATGAGTGTTAGAGGATTGGGGGAGTGTGTATCGCAATTTTTGATGGCATTATATTTGTAAACTCCTAACCCCATTAATTCTACGTGTCTATTAAGCATACATCACACATACACACACACACACATATATATATATATATATATATATATATATATATATATGTATACCCTTGAGACATAAATATTGTGTTAAAGTGCACTAGCCGCTGCTCGCTCTCGGGCGAAGATCGATGCGACGAATTTTTACCTGAACAGCTGAGAAGATGTCAACGATGTCCCGGCGAAGTAACAATTTCGACTAGGACAATATAATTTATTATATTATATAATAATCAGATATGGTGACAACATTAGGGTCGTAGCTATTCAGGTGTAAAAAACGAATAGGCGCTCACTACCCAGTGAACATGATAACGCCAAAATGACGTCATTATTCGGTCACTTTTGGTCGGAAGCGACATTGATTAAAAAATGACGTCTCAATTGACGCCATTTTTATGACGTCCTTTAAAAGGCTGTCATTTTGACGGCTTTTGAGGACAGTACTGAAAAATCAAGCTTACCTACAAATAAAGTATAGATCTTTAATGAACTAAATACAATATCTTGTTATTTTGACTTTTCTAATAATAATAATGTTCAGATATTTCACATTGCCATTTTACATTATGTTTTATTCTCGTAAATAACAACTTTATTCCAAACTCCTTTGTATATCAATAAACAAGTTTTAATAGAATATTTGTAATCAAGCATGGTAAAAATTCAAATTTTGAAACGGTATATCATTCAGCCGATCATCAGCGAAGAAGCAGGATTGTGCTTGGCGGTGAGCTCGACCGATGTCAAAGCTCCATGCGTATTCGCCGTTTGGCGATGGTTGGGCCATTTTGTTTTATAAATCTATGGGTTTGACCGACAGCACGGTGGCTTCATCCAGATGACTCCCAGGAAACAAGAAGTGTTATGAAAAACCAAAGCGATTTTGATAAATTGCAACAAATAAATTCTGAACTATCCGAGGACTGAAACGTGTTTCGACATCAAACGGTGTTTGTTAGTCCTCTATTAACCACTTCGATACACTTTGTACACATGCGCCTGAAAAATTGCGGAGGTAATAATGACGCCTCGGAACGAGAGGGTTCAAGAGTGGCAGGAAAGCAGAACATGAGTTTCGGCGCCTTTTTACCAGTCCTGAACTCACAACTTGTGGGTGTCGTTGTCGCATCCTCAATCAGGATCATTTGAATATACCGAGCGATTATTTTTGCAAGCCACTGTAGGTCATATCGACGTCACATGTGGATCTCATATCCACGTCATATAGATGTCATACCGACTTTGTATTTGGTCTTTTATGCGACATAGTACGACGTCATATAATGACGTCTATTGGGTGTAACATTAGACCGTCATAATGGCTTCATTTCTACGCCATTTCTGTTGGTCTGCGTACGTTAGTAGAGCCCTAAAGATGCCGACATTTTGACGTCACTATGTTCACTGGGTATTCTGTGAATATGAATATATTTTGTCGATTGAATCGAATCTATTTTAACACCTATTCTTCGAGCAAATAATACTAGACGATTGTTGTCCTCGATTATTTAAAAAAATAAAATCTACAATACCTTTTCTTCAATCAGATTCATTACATTACCTGACCAGGTAAGGGTATCCAAAGCCGACCAATAGCCGACCTACCAGAACGTAAGACAGTTGATTGAGATACTATTTAAAACCCATAATCCATACTTTCAATTTTTGCCACATCAACATTCCTTTTTTTGACCGATATCCATTCTACTCTACGTAGTTATGCCAGGGTACCGGTATTTTAATAGCCAGCAAACAATAAAGATAACAGAGCGTACAAACGTTGACTCAGATATTCTTGATGCACATACATCCGCTTGTCCAGAAATGCATGGGAAGTACCAACTACTTGTCGCCATTTCTTTGTGTCTGTATGCCTGATCAGATTAGTAATACAAAATGAAGTCACCCTGCAGTTTTGCTTTATTAGGGTGGAGAAAACATAGAAATGTCCAGACGCAGAAGGTATTATAGATCATCGACCTTTTCACGCAATCATACCATTTCGTGTTTAAGTGGTTTCGTGTTTTGCTAAATATAAAATGTTTAGTCATAGGAAAATCTGATTTATATCGATGGTAATCGGAATTATGATTACGAATCAATTATACTGTATAATTGGGATTATATCGAGAGGTAAATAACTATAAAAAAGGAGGGAAAGTCATCGAAAAAAGTGTATACCAACAGATAAATATACTCAGTAACATTAGAAGTGTTGTTTTTTGCAACATAGTCACTATATTTAAAGCATGCTGTGGCAACAATGTCAACATTTATCTTTGTTTTTGTTTACCTTTGTTAAAATGTTATCTCTTAGTTCTTGTGAAGAACGAAGTTTCTGAGAGCGGAGTAGTACAGATATGTTTAGTTATTGCCCTTTCATTTGCTAGTGTTAAGCAAAAAAAAATGTCTCAAGTTGGAAGACGTGCAAATTATCACCATGTTAGCGACTTTGACAGGGGTAGAATTATTGCCTTCGAGTTGTTGATTTGTCTACCGCGAAATTGGCCGCCGTGTTAATTGTACTGCAATCAGTGGCGGCTCGTGAGGTAGTGCCACGGTGCCATGGCACTACCTTGTCTTCTTCAAAAAGAATATTTTTTTCAATCTTCAATGTTTTACTTTATTTTCTGCTTTTTCATTTTTTTTGGTATAAATTATATGAAGTGACAACACTGACAACGTGACAACACCGCAAGCACCCGACCGACGCGACGAGACGAGCATGCCTTGACCTTGACGTCATCAACTTGTGCCAATTTAGGGCCGGCCCAAATAAAAAGAGAGAAATTTTACCAGCATCGCATACGAGCGACAGAGATAACGCTACGCATGACATGTTTATATGAGGTGAATAGCGAAAGACAAGTATAATTTGTGCCAGGCACATCATCAGTCGTAATTCGTTATCAAATGATATCGGCGGTGTTTTTGTTCGGTCGGTCGTTTGGTTATGATTACGTCTAGTGCTGATTTCGGTCTTTTTTTACCTGAAAAGTGAGAAATAACGTTTTTGTTTTTGTACGTCTAGTGTTAATGAACTGCTCTGTTTTGTGATCATATTTTTTACTGTTTTATTAAAACTAGTGAAAATGAATAAAATCGGGATATTAAAAAACTCACTTAGTGGTTTTTCGCTGGATCAAAAACTGCAAATTAAAGAATTAGGACGGCCAATACCCGATTTAAAAATTGAGAAACAAAGTGGTAGCGGACAAAAATCGCGCTGTCGCAAATTTAATAAAAATGTGTACGATAAAAACAGCTGGATATGTGGTTGTGAAGAAACGAATAAACTATTTTGTTTTGTATGTGTTCTATTTGGAGGTGACGAGACTTGGTCAAAAAAAGGTACAGACGATCTTATACATATATGGGATAAAATGAAGACCCACGAAAAATCTAAAGTCCATATGAATAATGTTTTTAGCTTTTCTATTCTTGGTAAATTAAATATAAGGACTCAACTCAATTCGGCTTATCGCAATGATCTAATTAAACATAATAATCAAGTGGATAAGAATCGATATGTATTGAATAAAATTATTAATTGTATAAGGTTTTGTGGAGCATTTGAGTTAGCCTTAAGGGGTCATGATGAAAAGGAAAATTCGGAAAACAGAGGCATATTTAAGGACCTGGTGAATTTTAGCGCCGAATTAGACAACGAATTGAAAGTCCATATTCAAAGTGCCAAACTTTTTGAGGGTACCTCAAAAACAACTCAAAACGAGCTTCTTGAGTGCATGCTAGATGTTTATCATGAAGAAGTTAAGAAGGAGATTGCAAATTCTCCTTTTGTTGCAGTAATTGCCGATGAAACGACGGACGTAGCCTGTGAATTTCAGTTAGTTATTATTTTCAGATATTTGTGTAAAGGACAACCAGTTGAGAGATTTTGGAGATTTTACGTCCCCGACGGACACGATGCCAAATCAATCGCTGCATGCGTTTTAAATGTTGTAAATCCATTACTAGATCAAAATCCAAACAAATTAATAGCTCAAAGCCATGATGGTGCGTCTGTTATGAGTGGTGAATTGAATGGCGTTCAAAAAATTATTAAGGAAACTTATCCACTTGCAAATTATGTTCATTGCTATGCACACCAGTTAAATCTAATTATGACAAGCGCATGCTCTGTCAATAAGCAGGCTAGAATATTTTTCCATAATTTATCTGGATTGTGCTCTTTTTTTTCGACGTCTCCTCAAAGAACAAAAATTTTGGATGAAATAGTTAATCGCAGATTGCCAAGATCTTCCCAAACACGTTGGAATTTTCAGTCACGAGGTGTTCATACAGTTTATGAAAATAGGAAAGACCTGATTGAAGTTATGGACAATATAGAAAGTACTTCACGCGATTCTTCGTCGATTAATCAAGCCAGTGGGTACAAATTAAAGCTGCAAGATACAAATTTTGTATTTTGGCTAAGTATTTTCCATAAAATAATGCCACATGTTGAAATTGTCTTTAACCAATTACAAAAAGTATGCACCGATTCTGTTAAGGTCAAAAATGATTTAGAGAATTTTGAAGCAGCAATTCAAACTATACGAGAACAAATGGATAGCATTATTAACGATATTGAACGAGTGTAGAGAGAAACTGATGAACCGGCAAGAAAAAAAAGGCAAGTTGAAGAAGGCAGCAAAAAACGGGAAGCGTTAGAAATATGCGATGCAGTATTATCGCAAATAAGAACAAGATTTAACTTTTCTGGGCATTTAGTTGCTTCTAATTTATTTGTGTCTGAAAAGTTTTCTGTTTATAAACATCAGTTTCCCGAAGCACATTTAAATGACACATGCACACAATTTTCATTTTTAGACAAAAACAGGCTTAAAACTGAGTTACAAGTATTATATCAGAGAGAAGAATTGAGTACTACTTCTGGAGCTGTTCCACTATCCATTTTATTGAACGAGGAAAGATTAAATTGTACGTTTCAAGAAACTCTTAAGCTCTTAAGTATTTTAATCACTATACCGATGTCAACATCTGAAGCAGAACGCTCTTTTTCAATGCTGAAACGGATTAAAACTTTCCTCAGAAACACAATGAAGGAAGAAAGGCTTAGTGTTTTAGGAATGCTGTCTGCAGAAAAACATTTTGTTAGTGGCATTGAATATTTTAATAATAAGGTAATCGAAAACTTTGCTACCAAAAAAGAAAGAAGAATGGACCTCATATATAGAAAACTATAGTTATAGGTACTTCTCCACACTTGTTTTATAATTTGGTGCGCGTGTGTAAATAGTTTTATTTTTGATTTTTTTTTGGACATATAGATTTATTGAACCTCAAGAACTTTGACCACTAACTATCAGGGGTAAGTTATAAGTTATTCTTTACAATTTTGAATCGATTCAAAATTATGGCTTCCATTCTGGCACTACCTCACGGAATTGGCACGAGCCGCCACTGACTGCAATGACGGTTATGTGTGTGTACCTTGTGTGGATAGAAGAAGGTAGAGGAACACGAAGAAGGCCAACTGGTCCACCGAGGCGTATCACAGAGCGTCCAGATAGGCGCTTCAGACAACTAGAACTACAAGATCGTTTTACTACTACGTGTCAGATCGCTGACCAATTCTTTGGAGAAGAAGGTAGGCCTGTTACTATGCGTACACTCTATCACCGCATTCGAGCCTTTGGACTTTTTTCATACCTTCCGCAGTTAGTGCTTCCTCTGACTGCGGACCACTGTCATCAACGCTTGAACTGGAGCAGAGTACGGCAACATTGGGAGGCAGAATGGCATAATGTCATCTTCAGCTACGAATCGCGATTCTGTCTAGATTCTAGATACGCACGATGGCCGCAGAAGGGTAAGACGTCGCCGTGGAGAACGGCGTGATATTGGATTTGCTACTGAGAGGCATATACTACACAGGAATGGTGGAGTAATGGTTTGGGGGGCTATTGCCTAAGGTAGCCGATCACGGCTTCTCTTTGTTCAAGGCAATATGACTGCTACGCGTTATGTTGATGATGTCCTACAAACCACTTTACTGCCGAATTTAAATCCAATCGAAAATGTGTCGGATATGATTGGGAGGAGACTATGGCACCATCCGCCACAGACTGTGTCACAGCTAATCCACGAAGTTCGAGTTGCTTTCTAATCAGTTGCCACAATCAGACATCGATCATCTCATTTTGTCGATGCCTAGTAGTGTACGGGAGTGAATTCAGCTGCGGGGTCGCCCAACACATTGTTATTATTTTTTTCTTATTACTTCTGAATAAAATTTCGTGCGAATGTTATCACTTCATTCTTAATGTACGACTACCTCATTGCCAAAAAATCAAGTTGAATAAATTTATTTTTCTGGGTGTAACACTTCCAATGAGTATAGATGTCTAGTATAGGTTGAGTCTGTCACATTCAGTTACATTTTTGGTATGTTTGTCATCTGGGACAAGATCGTACCCAGCTCAAAACGGAAAAAAATTTTTGGTGGAAGTTGTCACGTGCTAAAATCACGTAACCTTTTTTACTATTTCTGATCACTTACTAGTATGTAATTTGAGTTTCTCTTTATTGATAGAGTGCCCATTCCTAGGCCAAATCCTTTTCAATGACTTTCTTTTGGTAAATTTCATAGTTTATGGATTGTATAATTTCACACATAGAATATCTTCCTTTCTCAGCGATTCAGTATTTTGTTGGAAAAAAACTCTGCTTTTTTTTCTCCGTTATTCGGTTTCCTGTCGAACATAATATCTCTTCTTGAAGGCCACTCATTGAACCTTCCTTTATAAGGCCACTGTGTTCAATATCCAGATTCTGGGATCTAAGGTGCCAAGCACCAGTTAGTGGGGTAGTACCCCCTTATACGTTTAGTTGTTTTAGTTTGGGTGCTACCCGTTCCATTTTTTTATGGGATTATAACCTTCAGCGTGGGAGATATTACGGCGAGCCACCATATACCCCTCCAGCTTGGCTTGTAGCTGCTTTGTGGCCGGAAATGCCGGAAGCCACCCCTTCCCTTTTGTAGAAAAGTTCCAAAAATCATATCTACATAACTATGCTTGATATTTTTCCTCCTATTTGCATTTCATTTATATACGAGTAGTCTTCCACGACTATTTGACAATTCATATGGGTATGGAAAACTACAAGGATTTCTTCAAGCAAGCCAAATATGAACCGTCTTGTGAAAGAAATTGTGCAGAAAGATTAACATATTGTTTAGAGGTGGCCCCTCATCGCGAAGTAAAAAATTCTGGGTAACTTTTTTTATCAAACTTCATAGTTAGTCTATAGAATGACTAAGAAAGGAATGAAAACACCTTCGAAATGAGTATGTTCATTTTCTTGCAACAGTTAATTGGTTATTGTAAAAAATCGTTCATTTTTGCCGAAAATTGCATAAGAGTAAATATGTAAATATAGTAGCCAAAAATTAAATCCTTTATAATAACTATTAACATCTAAATATAGTCAAAATCACGAAAGGTGACGATTACGTCATCATTTTTTAATGACGTTTCTGATATGTTAGACAGAGACAAACATAATTTTATTGTCTAGACAAACTGTATTGCTAATTTGCATGTATCCGACAAAGATACACGATGTTTTCATGTTGCATGATTGATCATATTTGAAAGATGAATAGTTAGGTTAGGTTATGTTAAAGCAGGTTATGTTGTTTTCGAATAATACTTTGGTCTTTCTGTCTTAAGGTATTCTCCTTATAACTGTTTCTTTCAAAACAAAAACTCCCCACTAAAATTATTAAGGTATCACTCAAAACCATGAAATAAAATGAAAATAAAAATAATCAGTGAAATAACCTAACTTCGCAAAATCATAATATAAATTTGTTGTCATTATGATCCTGACTCGTAATTTTATCATCGACCTACGTCAATTGGTTACTTCAGTACAATTTATGGTATGACGTAATAGGCATCTTTCATGATTTTGACTATAATCTTCAAAAATGCTCAAGCTATCCAGCGTCGTAACTGCTGCAACAAATTAGACATACAGGGTGAGTTTTTAGTATCTAATTGGACAATATTTCCATTACTATAAATCATAGTCAGAAATGTTATTTACAAAAATTGTAGACTACTACGCTTCCTACTTTGAATATACCGCTTCCCTACTGGGTGATTCATAGCGACGTGATAACAAAAACGATTTTTTTTTAAATGGAACATCGTACATCTTTTAGCCGGGGATATACAGGGTGCGGCAGAGAGGATGAACGGTTTTAAAAAAATCATAAAATAGTTAATTTTTACTCGAAAATAAATTTATTGATGGAATCAGGTTCACAAGGAAATAGCATTTGAGACAGTCAAGTGTGGAAAATCACATCAGGCATGTGGTGGCCGAAATCGTTGATGCAGTGCTGGAGGCGTTCTTGGAAGTTCGCTTTCGTAACTGTTGCACAATGGCCAATTTGTAGGGGTGAAAGCGGAGATCCATATGCAAAATTCGCATTAAGAAAGACATGTCGAACGCGTTCGACGGTGACTGACTCATTATTTCGGACGAAACAATCATAGGCGAAAACGCGGTGCTCCACCGTCCAAGGCTCCATAACGACAACTGGTAAAATAATGCTAGGATCTCACGAGTCAAACGGCACCCTCCCCACCTCTCTCGTAGACGGAGGCGGAGAGTACTACCCATCCCAAAAACGTCCGTCCTTTCTGCCGCACCCTGTATTATACTATTTCCGGAAATAATTTCTCTTTGTCGATATTTATTCGTTGTTTTTCTACAATTACTCGATGTTTCATCAAATAGCAAAAAATAGTTTTATAGAATATGATGTACCTAGTTTAATCTAGAATGATCTGAAAGAGATTTTTGTCATATTTTCCCATTGTGATCTCCGAAACGGTAAGAGATACGGGTCGGTTGAATGGTGGCAAAGTTGCGTATTTATATATCTTAGAAAATGTATTTGAAAAGTTTTGACGCTTACAGTATCATGGAAAAGGGAACGAATTTTCTCAAAATCGTTTTTAATTTTTTCTGAATTTATTTGAGATAGGATTTCAAAATAAACCGCACACTGACATTTTTACTTTTTGATCTCTGAAAGGTGGCATAAATAGAACATTAATATGATTTCTCGTCTCTTATCCCTGTCTCAGCTTTGATTTTTCTTATTATGCCGTTTTTACTTCTGATTACAAATATTATAGCATGTCATACTATACAAAGACGATAGCACGTTACGTATTAATATAAAACTTTGGATGCATAATTATGCATAGCTACATACATATGGGTCAGTTTTTTCTGACGTTGAGGGACCACGATGGCCTTTTTCAAAGTACGAAATCACTCCCTACGACGAATTTAAACGGTACTCTTTAAAAATCACCATTTACCGTTTGATCCACTGTTGAGAAATCTCGTAATTATTAATGACGTACATAGTTAATCATCTTCATAGGTTGAGTCACTATTGACTTAGCTTAACATATCAAGGCGGTAAATATTCTCTATGACACCTCAAATATATGTGCAAAACCCGATGAAGTAAGATAATGCCAAGCTAAATGATGAAACGCAGTGACGGTAGGAATAATCCATAATTTAAATTAATATTTTATTGAACGTGAATCAATGTTCTCTCAATTTGTTCAGAATTATCTATTTAAAGTGCGGTGTTTCTCCCAGAAATTACAATTTGTTGTTAGAGTTATTGTTGTATAAACGTGAAAACATCTCAATTATTTACTGAACCTTGATGATACAGCCTTCTACAGTAGTACGTTATACGAACAAAAAAGTTGATTTAAGTCCAAGGTCTTGCTACAGCTTCTATCGTGGCGATCCTACAAGTTTTTGCTTATTTATTTTGATGGGATGTCTTTATATTATTTCGTTATAATATCCATACGTTTCGAGAAACTATACAGGGTGTTAGGGAAATAATATTCGTAACCTTAAGAGGTGATTCCTTGCATTATTCTAAGCAAAAAAGTTCATTATAACCTACGTCCGAAAATCAACCGTTTCGGAGCAAAAAAAAAATGATGAACTTATTTATTTTTAGACATCAAAAAAATTAATTTTGCACCTTAATAATTTAAATTCATATGCCTAAAAGCGTAAAATGTATCAATACATCTATTTGTTAATTAACTGTCTCTAATAAAATAATTTTCTTGCTTATTAAATACAATTTTCCGAAGAAAAACAAACAAACAAAATCCCTCACACA